AGTCTAACCACGTTCAATACACTCCTGTGAACCTGGGTGGAGACCTGGTTGATCAGCAGTTTGGCAAGACCTGGGGACTCTTGGGCCCAGAGGACTAGAGTGGAGAATGAAACGTCCAGCTGATAGAAGAGATGGCATGTGCACAAGAACACCCACACTTACAGATAATACCCACTTGACCTGGCTTCAATGGCTGGATGAACAGAGCTCAACTAGAAGAAGAAAGAAGAGGAAAAAAAGAGTAATCTGATACAATTTGATGAACGTGACCTACACCTATGGATGCAGTAGCTCAAAAGAGGGAACAAATCTTTACAGCGATGATCATTCCCACCCCCTCGATACACAGTAGACAGGGATGGGCAACTTGGACATTGACTACCCAAAATGGGGGGGCTACAAAGGCAAAGTGACTGGCTTACAGGATTTCAAGAGGAAGCCTAGATCCAAAGGGCGCGGAAGAAGGTAGAATCTCCACTGAGTAGTATCCAATCTGTCTGGGCGGGACTAATGAAAGGAGATGTACTCATGTGGTACAATAGTGAATAATTACTATCAGGACTGACTGTGAGGGTTGGAAATGTAAAGGTAGACGTTTTGTAGCAAAAGGAAGAAAGTGGTTGACTTTGCAGTCCAGGAGCGGCAGGCCCTGGAAGCATCAAGGGAGAAGAGCGGAGTGCGGGACCCTAGTCAGAGAAACTGTGACGCCAGAGATGTAGGCAGAGACGATGACGTGGAGAGATGGAGCGGCTGGGAACTCTAGACCTAGAGAGGGAAAGGGGCTGTGTGCTGAAGACGGGGAAGGGGAGGGGGGCAGGCTTGTGGGGTGTACCATTTGTTTGGTTGATGATGGAGGGGATTGTAACTATAGGAAGAATGTAAAGCTAATGTTCTCCCATGTAAGCTATCACTTAATTCACAATAAAACATTAAAAAAAAAAAGCCTTTGCATAGTTAATAAAGCACAGGTAAACATCTTTCTGGTATTCTACTGTCATTAAAGATCCATCTGACTTCAGCAGTGATATCCCTCTTTCCATGTTCTCATCTGAATCAGCCTTGAACTTCTGGCAGTTTCTTGTCAATGTACTGTTGCAGCCATTTTTTAATTATCTTAACAAAATTTGACTTGCATATGATATTTCATATTGTCCAGTGATTTCTACATCCTGTTAGGTTACCTCTCTTTGGAATGGGCACAAATGTGGCTCTCTTCCAATCAGTTGGCCAGATGGCTGTCTTCCAAATTTCTTGGCGTAGATGAATGAGTGTCTCCATTGCTGCATCAGTTTGTTGAAAGGTTTCGATTTGTGTTTCATCAGTTACCGTAGCTTTGTTTTTCACCAATGCCTTCAGTGCACCTTGGACTTCTTCCTTCATTACCATTGGTTTTTGATAATATGCTATCTCTTGAAATAGTTGAACATCATCCAGTTCTTTTTGGTACAGTGACTCTGTGTATTCTATCTTCTTTTGATACTTACTGCATCATTCAGTATTTTGCCCTAGAGTCCTCCAATATTGCAACCAGACCATCTCTATTTTGTCTAATTTATACTGATAGAATGTCCATCTGAATCGTGAGTGGAATGTGTATACATATCATTTCAGTGGGTCTCAGCTGGGAAGGGACATTTGGTACTGTCTGGACACATTTTTGGTTGTCACAGTCAGGAAGTTGCTTCTGGTATCTTGTAAGTAGAGGCCAGGTAAAAAACCAACCTACTACCATCAAGTTGACTCCAACCCATAGCAATCCTTTAGGACAGTAGAACTGCCCTCAGGGTTTCCAAGGGTAGTAATCGTAACAGAAGCAGAGTGCTACATCTTTTTTCTGTGGAACCCATTAATGGGTTTGCACCACCAACCTTTTGGTTAGCAACCAAGAGCTTAACTCTGTTATGCCACCAGGGTCTTTACAGAGGCCAGGGAGACTGTTAAATGTCCTATGGTCAGTCATGTGCTTGGGAAGATTGTATGCAAGATTCGTTCCCCCAAAACTGAAATTTAAAAACAAAGTTTCTTGTGGTAAAACATATTTAACAAAGTTTGCCATTTAACCATTTCTAAGTGTACATTTTAATGATATTAATTATATTTACCATGTTGTGCAACCAAAACTATTCATTTCCAAAAGTTTTTCATCACCGCACACAGAAAGTCAGTGCCCTTTCAACTGTATTTCTCTTTCCCCTTCCCCCTAAATCTATATAAGAATTTTATTTGAAGAAAGTTTCTAGGGAAAAAAATGAAGAATCTAGGGTTTATGTTGTTGAGTGCCTTTGAGTCAGTTCCGACTCATAGCGACCCTATTATGGTTTCTGAGGTTGTAAATCTTTGCAGGAGCAAAAAGCCTTACCGTTCTTAGGCGGAGCAGTTGGTGGGCTCATACCACCAATTTTGTGGTTCGAAGTTGAGTACTTATCCTATAGAGAACCACAAGACTCTCCCAGGGTTCTGTTGTTGTTAAGTGCTGTTGAGTCCATTCCAACCCATAGTGACCCTGTATAGGGTTTCCAAGGAGAAGCTGGTGAGTTTAAACCACCAACCTTGCAGTTCGAATGACTTTGCAGTCCGATGCATTAGCCCACAGCACCACACCAGGACTCCCAGGGTTCTGTTGTACATCTGAAAAGAGCTGCCCATTTGCTGAGAGGTTGTGTCCCTTAGGAATATGGGAGAACCCCAGTGTGAAGCTTGAGAGTCAGATGTGCCTTATGGTGGAGACTAGAGCAACCTGCTGTGTGGTTTTGGACCTAACTGGGTTATTGCACAGGGATGTCAGCCTGACCAGCTTGAAGAAGAGATTTCAAGGGTTTGGATTATCCCAGTTGGGAAGAAGTCTGCTGTGGGAGGGACAGTGTAATCTGGACTGATTCTACAGAAATCATATGGTTAATACTGAAACTATGAAATCGTGAAAATTCAAATCATATTAAAGATATATTTTTTGGGTAGAGCGATCAGTTTTCCTCACCTGCTGTGTGACCCTCATCCTTGCCTTGACTGACAGACCATACAGTGAGAAAATACTCTTAACATCATTGGAAAACTGGCCTAAGTCTTAACGATCAGCATATCACTATTGTTTCTCTCAAGTTTAATTTTAATATTATCTATGATTTTTTTCCTAATCACCAGGATCCAATTAGGTAGCTAAACTGATCATAAGAAATTGACCTTAAATATTAAGTTGAACTTTATGAATTACCATTTTTTGTGTTGTTATAGGCCAAAGGCAGTAAGATGTTAGCAATTTCATATGGTTCAACTTGCTACAGGATGTGTCAAAGAAAACATTGCAAAGGATAATGTTAAAGCAGGCAAGGATGACTTTATTAAAAAAATATTCTTGCAAGAAGCAGAGGAAGGACTATTTGAAGGAGGCAAAGGAACACTCAAATCTGAGTACAACTCTACTGAGACAAAAACATGAGCTTTTAAAAATATAGGGTGGGTTAGTGGATGAGCACTGAAGAAAGCTAAGGGGATTGATCACTGGATTGCATGAGTGATTTACTGAGATTGCAGTTAGGGCCATAAGGCTCAAAATGCTGTCTTTTCATTTTATAAGGTTGCCTGAGTCCTAGAGACCTCATGGCAGGGAGAAAGGGAATAAGGAACTCCCTGATTAGATGCCGGAGATGGTGAAGACTGAGGAAGTAGAAGGTCAGGGCGATCATTAATACAGCACATCATTAGTATTGTTTTGGTCAATTCTTTGCAAATTCTGGAACACAAAAGGACAGGGAAGGGGTTCTTTAACTGTTGCTGTTCTCCTTGTTCCTTATTAAGTGCCATGGAGTCAGTTCTGACTCATAGGACCCTATATAGGGTTTCTGAGGAGCAGCTGGTAAGTTTGGACTGTTGGTCTTTCAGTTAGCACTCTAGTGCTTATCCTACAGCCCCACACCAGGATCCATGTTCTTAGGGCCTGAGTAAAATTGAACTTTGTCAACTACAAGTAGCAGCTTGTAATTTATGTACAGATTATGTTCTCCCTAAAGGAACGGTAAAAATGCCCCCTGCATCCCAGTGTGAACCTCTGGGTAGATCTACAGCAGCAGCAGCCAGTCCTCATTTAGGTGCCTCGGCCTGGCTAGGGGGACCTATAACTTTCTTTCAACAAACACAAAGTAGACGTCTGTGTTTTAACAAAACCATGTTTCCCTGCATGGGAACAGGCTGGCCATCTTTTTATCTGCCCAGTAGGAGTGAAAGACAATTCTTTTAAACTTTAAGAATTTCCAAGAGGACATCCTTATCCTCATCCCCACTCCTCAACTGACTTTATTTCTCTATATTTCTAGAGGATCCAGTGATGGGAAAATTCAGAAATGGTTACACGGTGATGGTTGAACAGCATGTCATGCTAGAACTGCGTTAACACTAGTGTTCATCTAAAAAGGGGGAGGGAGGGAGGGAAAATGCCTAGCACTCCATCCTTGTCATCAAATTTCAGTGAAACTAGGACATGGCATCATCATCTAGGCTTCTTAAAATATTTACTTTCCACTAGGGATGTTTTGGAGTCCTGGTGTGGCACTATGGGTTAATGCGCCAGACTGTAAAGCCGTTTGAACTAGTTCAAGTCCACCAGGTACTCTTCGGAAACCCTATACAGGGTCGCTATGGGTTGGAACCGATTTGACGGCAATTCACAACAACAAGGGATGTTTTATGAACCCCTTGTGTGGCACTATAGGATAAACACTGTACTGCAAACCACAAAGTCCACAGTTCAAACTCACTGGCTGCTCCTCAGAAACCTGAGCAGGGTCATTATGAGCTGGAATCGACTCAATGGCACTTAACAACAACAACAACAACAAAGATGTCTGTTTGGAGGGTAGTCTTTTAGGGACTTGGGAATGTTTGCTAACTTTTACATTTGTTCTTCTTGAAAGATAAAATTACTCAAGTTGTGGAACCAGGTATCTGAGGAACAAAGTTCTGTGGTGAGACCCTGTAATGATCCCATTGTGTATTTTGTTTAACAGGTCAACTTCCAAAGTCTATCCACTCTCTCCAAAGAACATGAAGCCACCATCCCTAGGGTCACCAGTGAAATACCGCCTTCCCCCCTTTTCCAACCGAGAGATACCCAAGAAGAAGGCAGATAAAGAGAAGACCAACAAGGAAAGGGAAGGTGCTGTTGGCCTACAGACATTTGGTGCACACGGAGAGGATGTCCCTGAGAAGCATATTGTGGACAGACACATCACTGAGAAGTATGTAATTTCCACAGGAAAGGTGGAGAGCAGTGAAGGTAAGGCTTCCTCACAGATGCTACCATGTGGAGCCTTGGGTCTCCATAGATGGTCCACTCTCTGACCCATCCAATCAGAATTCTTGCTCTCTTCCTCCTTTCCTCCTTTCAGTCACCTGAGGTTTCCCTGGAGGAGGAGATTGGGGGGTCCCAACTCTGCTGCAAGCTATGGATATATTCACAGTGTGCTGAGTAAAGCAGGCTTTACACAGCCAGCATATGGGAGCTTCTCAGAAAGAGAGGAGCTTACTCTAATCCTTGCAGCCTTTATGATGCAATGAGTTCACCCCAATGGTGGTAACAATGGCAGAGACCTTGGAACTTGCTAGTTCCTCTTCTTCCACACCAGCCCACTCCCTTACACTGTGTAATGCATCCAGGATCACAGCTGGATCCTATCACAGCTTCTCTTGATCAACAGCTAATCATGCTAGTCCTGACAGCATTGTCTCTTAGCCTGTTGGACTGGATTTTTCTTTCTTCCAAGTGGCAGTTGCTGTATGGGTAGAATTATTGTGCTCATTTACCTTAGTCTTTTCTTCTTGATACCTTGCCCCAATGTATCACAGGAAAGCCCACGGCAGGCACCACTGATGCTGGAGAGGCAGTGAAGATCCTGGCTGAGAAGAGGCGGCAGGCACGCATGCAGAAAGAGCTGGAAGAACAAGAACGCTTGGAGAAGGAGAAACAAGAAAGGTATTGACTCAGAGTTTTGGGGTGATCTCATGGGAAAGGCTTCAGTGGAAAGAACAATTTGCATGCCTTCTTTTACAGTTCTGGAATTGATAAAAAACAAACAAACAAACAAACAAACAAACCAGCAGCAGTCTAGGAACCTGGAATGCCAGGTTTACACACAAGGTGCTCATGGGTTGCAGCGGCTAGTAGATGTAATTCACAACGAAAGCACTTTGCTCTTTTTAGAGGACCTGAAAACTCAGAACTCCTGGATTAAATGGTACAGGTAGTTTCCCTTTCTCATCTTGAACTTGAAACCAGCCAGTCCTCATGATCTCTCAGGAGCTCTATCCTTGAGCTTTGTTTATAGATTGAGATTCTAAGAAGAGAGAAGGTTCCATACGTAGAGATCTTGATTCTGCTTCCCAAAGTTGTATTTTATCACCCAGATTATCCTAACTCAGACCCTAGAGATGGAAAGGAAGGTTGAGAAGAGTTTCCTAGAGAGGGATGGAAGCTGACCTTGTATCTCATGAGCAGTGATGTGTGGAGAAGCCCACTCTGGAGCACAAACCTTGGGAGCGTATCAGAACCATCTGGGCATGTGGTACACAGGCTCAGGCTTCGGTGACTTGGCCCTTTCTGCTTTTTCCTGCACAGTCTTCCTGCTTTAGTGACCCTGGGCCTTTGTAGCTATCCAGGTGATTCTGATATAGCGCCAACATTTGAGAGCCACTGCATGGGTAGTAGTACTAGGACACTGTATCCAAATAAAGACAGTCCTGCCTTTTGTGATATTTGTAGTCAGAGAAGACTGAATGCTAAGGATAAGGTATTTTTGATCATTAAGTTGATAAAGGAAACCTTTAAAATAATCAGTGTGCAGCCTAAGCTACTTAGAGAATTCACAGGACAAAAACCAAGTGATGCTGTAGCATTTCAAGTTCGGCATAAAATTTAGTATAAGAAAAAGAATATTCTTGATCCTTATATGACCTTGGCAAGTCTCTGGCCTCTGATTGCTGATTTGCTGATCTTTGTGAAAAGATCAGGGAGTGGTGAGGAGGTGGATCAGACTGGTCCTTTCTTGCTGCAAATTCTGACCTCTCTGAGATTTCCCTACCTCCAGCCTTTTGGTTGATATCGGCAAATTTATTATTAACTAGGGTGTTTGAGCTGGTTGGGGTAGGCCATAAAGTGTGTGAAGAAGAGAAGTTACAGGAGATGAAGATGAATTGAGGGTCCTCAAATGCCAGACCTTGGTAATTGCAAGCCCTGACGATACCATGCAGGTGCAGAGCAAGTAAGTTAACCTGATTGCTTAGCAAGGTAAAGTTCTTTTACCTTCCCACCACCACCTTCTCTCTCTGTTGTACACATTTTCTTCACAGCCCAACTCCTCATCTAATTGCTTATATTGCCTTTACTTCCTCAACTCAAATTCCACCTTCAAATTCACCCCAACCCTTCCAACAAATTGCCAGACTCCTAGTCTATTTTGTTGTTGACTTTGCCCTTGTTGAGCTTTGCCTTGCTTCTCTGACCTCTTTTTCTCCATCTCCTCTCAACCCAGTCCTCACTCCTTGCCTCTCTGAACAGTGTTGCCCCCTCCTACTCTGTCATTGCCCCCATCATACTGAATAGGTTCAAGGTTCATATTACACAGGGGTTTTATGTTTTAAGCATTTGATGTACTAAGCCAACCTTGCTCTCATATCCCTTTCTGCCTTCATTTTATTTTTTTTTCTCATTTTATCATATGCCTGTTAATTTCATCTTTCTCTATAAACATTAAACACTTTCTAGAACAAGATGGGGCACTAAATACTACATGTCACATGTGCTGATGACTCCTGACTCTATGTCAAAGGCCGGTCCACTCTGCAGCAGTCCTGTCCAGTAGGCTCACCTCTAGCCACACTTGGCTATTGAAATGTAAACTACTTAAGATGAAGTACAATTCAGTTCCTCAGATGCCACATGTGCTCAGTAGCTATCATATTGGACAGCACAGAAAGTTCTGCTGGACAGTGCTGGTCTAAAATGGAGAGCCTATAATTCTAGTTGACCTATATTTTCATTTGAGTGTGTCCATATGCATCTCATATGTCACTTCTCTTCTGTCAGTTTGTTGTACTATGAAGGCTTGCGTGTTGCTGTGATACTAAAAGCTATATCACTGGTATTTCGAATATCAGCAAGGTCACTCATGGTGGACAATTTCATTGGAGCTTCCAGACTAAGACAGACTAAAAGAGAGAGACCAACTACTTCTGACTGTTTAGCCACTGAAAACCTAAAACAAATAGTGATGGAATGTTGTCACATATAGTGCCAGAAGATGAAAACATGAATAGAACCAAAATATTGTCAAATATAGTGCTGGAAGGTGAGCCCCTCAGGTTGGAAGGTACTCAAAATACAAGTGGGGAAGAGCTGCCTCATCAAAGTAGAGTTGACCGTCATGATGCATTATCTCATTTAATTCTCACAATTTGCTATGAAATACTATTATAACTATTCTCATTTTTTAAATGAACATCAGAAAAGTTGAGTAACTTTCCAAAGATCACACACACAGCAAGAGGCATAATCAGAATGCATGGCCTATTGGGAGTCAGTAACACTTATCAGTGTTTCTCTGCTATTCACAAGGTTTTCAGTGACTAAATATTCGGAAGTAGTTTGTCACTCTTTCTTCCTAGTCTGTCTTTGTCTGGAAGCTCATCTGAAACTTGTCCACCATGGGTGACCCTGCAGGTATTTAAAATGCCGATAGCATAGCTTTCAGAATCACAGCAATGCACAAGCCACCACAGTATGACAAACTGACAGATGAGTGGTGGCTATTTGGTTTTAAGTGGAAACCAAGAGGTAGCATATTGATCAAGAGCCAATGATAATGAAAGAGGAAGTCCAAGGTGCGTTGAAGGAATTGGCAAAGAACAAGACACCAGGAATTGATGGAATAAAAATTGAAATCTTTCAAGAAAGTGAGGTGGCACAGGAGGCACTCACTCATCTCTGCCAAGAAATTTGGAAGAAAACTATCTGGCCGACTGATTGGAAGAGATCCATATTTGTGCCTATTCCAAAGAGAGGTGACCTAACAGAATGCGGAAATCATTGGACAATCTCTTTGATATCCCATGCGAGTAAAGTTTTGCTAAAGGTAATACAGAAACGGCTACAATAATACATTGACAAAAAAATTCCAGATTTTCAAGCTGGATTCAGAAGAGGCCGTGGAATGAGGGTATCATTGCTGATGTCCGATGGACCTTGGCTGAAAGCAGATAATATCAGAAAGATGTTTACCTGAGCTTTACTGACTAAGCAGAGGCTTTTGATTGTGTGGATCATGAAAAGCTACGGACAACATTGTGAAGTATGAGTATTCCGGAACACTTAATTGTGCTCATGGGGAATCTGTACATGGATCAAGAAGCAGTTGTTCAAACAGAACATGGGAACACTGAATGGTTTAAAATTAAGAAAGGT